GCCGGTGAGATTTGAACCGCCGAACTGCAGATAGCAGTCAGCTGAAGTGGCCTGCAGTACTGCACTCTAACCACTGCGCCACCTCGGCTCTCTCATATTTATGACTGTTGCATTGTTCTGGAGTCATGGGATCCCTTTTGCAAACTCCTGACAAGCAAAATCAATGTGGGGAAAATTGGGGGAAAATTCACTTAATAAACGTCTCATTTGCAACAGAAATGTTGGGCTCTATTGTGGTGGGAAGGACAACCTTTGATTTATTTTACTCTTGGAAATAGAACTGCTTCCAGTGTTGAGAAATAGCTCAAATGACAGGTGATCTCTAGAGTATTTTAGAAATGGGGCCTTTCTTGCATTATTGCAAGTCTTTTTCATATTAGTGTTTTAGTTGTACTATTTTATTTTGGCTAAGAAAAATAATCTATTAGATAATTTAACAATCATCCCTCTTTATATAGTGTCTGGGAATAAACACTGGATGAGATAAATAGGCCTGTCAAAGTGTAACTGGGGAGCCATGAAAAGCCATAGCTGTATCTTGTCTGTCTAAACAGGCTCAGGACAAAGAAGGATTGTATAATAATAATTGTAGCCTTCTTCTTCAAAACTGAGATTACCAGTTTGACAAGCGTTATATCTCATTTTTTAAACATTTCTAACCCAGAGATGTTAACCACAGCTAGAATGGTGATGCCATTATAATAATTTGTTCATGCTATCTCCAATTGAGTAATTTCTCTGTTGGCTATGCATATTGCGATCCAGGCACCACTTTGGTGATATAAAATCTGTTTTGATTAGCACCATAGAAAAATCCAGCATCTTGTTGAAAGCCAACACAGTGAGACAATTCACATGGTAAACTAAGTCCAGTGGATTGCAATAGCAATAGCAGTTAGACTTATATACCACTTCATAGGGCTTTCAGCCCTCTCTAAGTGGTTTACAGAGTCAGCATATTGCCCCAACAATCTGGGTCCTCATTTTACCCACCACGGAAGGATGGAATGCTGAGTAAACCTTGAGCCGGTGAGATTTGAACCGCTGAACTGCAGCTAACAGTCAGCTGAAGTAGCCTGCAGTGCTGCACTTTAACCACTGCGCCACCTCGGCTCTTATGTCAAGTTTACCATTACCTATGGAAATTTAGTAGGGCAGGGATCCCCAACCTCCGGTTCATGGACTGGTACCGGGCTGGTACATGCCGAAAAACCAGGATGTGCAAACAAGTGAAGCGCCATCCACAGGATGCAGGGAGCATATGAAACAACGACTCTTCTGATCTTTGGAAAAACCTCTTTCCACGGAACTGGTACCCGGAGCCCAAAAGGTTGGGGGCTGCTATAGTAGGGAATTTATTCTGTCATCTTGCTCAACCACCTTCATAGCCTTATAGTTACAGAATATTATGGAAGGAAGGGTTGCTCAGAATATTCTTTTTAGCTCTTGGGAGACATCAGTGGTGGGATGCTTATCCCGTTCCAACTGGTTTGGTTGGAACGGGGCCGCCGGCGTCCTCGTGCATGTGCGCAGTTCACGTATGCGTCTTAATGCCTGCGCGATGGTCCAGCTGCTCACGGAGAGTTGCGCAGGCGCTGTATGTGCCATGTGCCTGCGTGGAA